TATATATATATATATACCTATAATATAACAACATAATAACACATCGAATATGATCAACCTAAAGATCAACCTAATACACAAAATCATACATTTATTATCAGTTGAATTAATTAATTGATTAGTTAACGATTTTATACAAGAAGTATGAGAATGGAAGTCACTACAATATAATTTTTTTATTAATTGTTTAATTACTTGCTGTAAGTATGTAGGTAATCCTACTAATTACTCAACCATGGGCATGAAATTTTTCTATACACATTGTCGAGGGTAAAGAATAGGACATATAAAAAAAAAATACTGTTCCCGAGGGATAAAAAATTTATATGGTCGTCGATGATTTTTGACATATATTTAGGACATCAATGCGTGGAAAGCCTATAATTGCTTATGTTGCAAAATTTGGTAATAATTGAAAACTCTAGTACCTAGTTACTATTTTTTTTATCTAATATAGGAACTTTTACTGTATTCAAACTGTATTAGGTTTCTATTCGTTTAGGGGTCGCGAATTTCGGAGAATAGCACAAGTGAAAATTTTATGACACGTGAAAAACTTTTGCGGAAGACGTAAAATTTTTATTGCCTTGTAGAAGTAGAAAATAACCAATCGAATTTTGCTACGGAGCGAACCAGAGTCCTGGTCGGGTTCAGACCTGGCGCACAAAACTTATACGGACTTAATGGGAAAGACAACGCAAGGTTCAAAATATATACGTATGTAGGTACAATTTATACGATTCAATAAAAACAATTTTGTCCCTGCTAAATCTGCAAGGAGGTTTCCAGGGGAAGTAAAAAAAAACTTGGCTCATAAATGTGAAAAGCGAACGCTCCACGTGTAGTTTTACTACCCATGCAGCTCAAATTTAGTTTGATAATCTCGAAAGTGCTTTATATAATGTAGGTAGGTACTTCAATATTTTTAACGATTTTACCAAAAAAACTTTTTAACGGGTCTTTAAATTAAATATTAAATGTTTAGTACCTAAATAATTACTGAAACTTTTTAGGGATTGTTAAAACATCTACATAAATATTTAATTAAGATCACATAGTTTCAAAAAACTTATTTTCATTGTAGCAACACAGCAATTGTTTCACAACGCAGTTGCTTCATGAGGCGATGATTGTTTTCATCTTTTATTTTCATAGAAAAAAACAATAGCTGTGCAGTAAAACAACTGGCAAAAACTTTTGTTTTATGTACCTACTTCTTTCTTTTGTTTTCGAATAATTAAGAACCATAAATTTCACTGCAAATATTTATGGGTACAATATACAGAATGTCTTAGGAAATAGGATCAAAGATCTCACAGGTTATTAAAAATGCCCCCTGTGATTATATTAAGCACTTTTCTATTATTTCATGATTGAATTTCGTAAAATGAAGTAAATAGTCTCTATTGTGCAGATAATTTTATTTCGTAAATGGTTCAACCCATTCTAGACTTTTATCGTTAGATATAATCGTTCCATTTATTCATGGGGATGATATCTTTGCAGTATAAATTAGGAGGGAGAGGGTTGAAAAACAATTCGGAATTCAGCTTTAGTTTCTTATCTTATACCCGAAAGGGTTTTCTGGCGTAAGATTTTCTTTAAGAGTGGCATAAATTTCTTTTATTGTCTACTATCTACAGGTACTTATAATTCTCCAATAAGTCTACAAATTAATGGCCTTGTTATTTATTTACCATTCTATCTCTTGTTTGATAACTAACACTACTGTAACTGTACGAGCTCCCTTTTTATTGAGGTCATCAACAAGGGTAAGCTTTCTATCAAAGCGGAGGATTTACTATTTCAGTCACGAAACGTTGGCGAAGTGCTAGCAATCAAATAAGGACCGTCTAATTTCATCCAGCTCCTTAAACTCTATCTATCTATGTATCTAATACAAAAACCGAAGTCTCATCGATTTTTTCTCGTGTTCAAGACTGAAAAGCTGGTCTTTGTTTTATTTTTTTTTTATAGCAGACCCTTGTTACGTTTTAAAAGTCAAGAATAATTAAGTTTCACTGTTTTACGGCATTCGCGATTATCCTTCTGGGAGATTATGATAATGAACTGGAACAACGACGTGAATTTTTTAGTCAGAAATCTAAATTCTAACAAAAAGAATTAGAAACCATTGTCCTCTAGTAAAATCTACGACAGTCAATTGTCAATAAAACAAAATACTTTCGTTTACCTTGTTCGTGTTTAGTTTTTTCCATGGCGGAACATGCGGCTCGCCATTCTTGAAGTTCTGGTGAAGGTATGAGTCCGGCGCTGCCGGCAGAATTGTCCTTTCGGGCTTGCCACCAATGGTGATCATCTTTACTGATAATCTTAAAAAAAAATTTCGTTGCAATTCAGTTAGTCTGAGCAGGTAAAATAAAAACAGATTTATCCAAATTTTCAGGACAGTACTGTACATCTTTTTTCGCGTAATTCACTTAAATTTCTGAAAAAACAACCCGAGGAGCGAAAGTCTTCTTAGTGAATGGGCTCTCAAATGTCAACACTCGAAAATGCGATGTGTAGGTATGCAGGCAACTGAGGAAGAAGATTTTTAGCCCATCTTGCTCTAAAATTTATATTTCCCAGTCCGACATCAAAACGAGCCACATTAAAGTACTTAAGATTTTTCTGAGAGGTGGAACAGGCGCTCCCTCAGAACATAATGCTATTTTTTAAAAGCCATCGTCGTCGTAAGGATTATATTTATACCCACGCGTAATCTTCTTACATGAGAAAGACACAAATCATTCTTTACGGTAACATAAAACCATTAATATTAGCGAAATATCTAACAGTAATTTGTTTACGGTAATAGAATTTTTATTACCCATGTTGTTCATGTTTGACTTCCCCGATGCATAACCGAAATTTCGCAAAAAACACCTGCAAATCGTTTCAACAAAGCAATTACAAAGGATTCATTTGTTGTTCCGTCAAAGAAATAAAACAAAACGGAAACGTAATCGAATTCTTTTTTTTTTATTTTGAACTAAGTAAAAAGTGAGCATCGAGAACGGACAAAAGATCGAGTGTAAAATCAAAAAGTGGAGAAGCGTAGTAATTAGGGACTGAAGTAAGATCAAAGGGTAGGAATTCTGGTGCATTTTGTAAAGAGCCGTTCCCGGCGAGAGAGAAAAACTGGCGTCTAATACCGCCGGTACTAAGCATCGACTGCATTTCTGCATTGCAACGTATGCATCTGCATCCAACAAAAAAAAAAAAGAGAATCATTATGTCGATTTTCCACACAGTGCGCCGGGGCACGTAAATTAAAGGAAATAATTAAGCGATCGGGTAGGTAGATGGATTTTTGGTTGAAGGTATCGTACATTTAAAAGACCATTCGGTTTATTAGACGACTAATCAATTACTTATACGAAACGTCGGGGTCGGGATAAGCCACCGATCTGCCGGAAGGAAGCGAAAATAAATCTGAGAGTTTATAAAAGCCAGTCGTTCGGATAACAAAACTTCCTTTAATTTACTTTGACTTTGACACTTAATAGTTTTGACAAAACTGCTTAGAATTGGGGCGTCTTAATCGAAGAAAAGTTTTTTCAATTCTGGTTATAAATGGGACAGCGAAAGACTTCTGAAGAACGAATAGATAAAAATGAGAACTTATTCAAAAGACGTTGAGGATTTTTAAAAATATTATCTGCTATATTGGAGATAAATTAGAAGTTTTATTGTTAATGAAGGTTTTCTATGGATCCAAGAAGAGGATGTATAAGAAATGGAACGATATCTATTACGTATATGGTATTGTAGCGAGCAAGAGTATGTTTGTGTGCGATCGGTCACACGTGTGCCCGTATTTGTAAATGTGTGTGTCGTACCTGCGTTCTGGGAAAGCAGTTCAACAGTTTAAAGAAAAAATAAACTATACGGATGCTTCCAGAAGGTTCCGGAAAGTAAACAAAAGAGTATTTAAAAGAAGAGACGATCGCCGAAAGGAGGAGAAATAAATTGGCCGTTGCAGAAGTGAAATAAATAGCGAGTGTTTAGCAATTTATTAATGTCAAAGTGAAAAGAAAATTGACCGATATTTATCCCCAACGAGGGGGTACGTAATTTAAATAAGACTGTCATTACCTCGAACTGACAGATCAGTATTACTGATTGCGGTACCTACAAGGATTATTTAAGACAAGGAAAGATGTCGCCTGTCGGAAGTGACGGCGGTGAATGGGATCTAGAACGTCGTTTAGAGATTGCACTCCTCTATCACCACCAGCGTCGTTGGCGTCGCCATGAAAAGACGTCCACACATACGTACACACACACAGACACACACATGCAGGCACTTTATATGCATATGCGTCTTTAGAACTGTAGGCTAGTAATTAAACGGTAACTTTGATGAATAGACTTACTTGCAAAATATCGCCAGTCCTGAAGGCGATACCGGCTTGAGCGCAGGGAATGAGGTCGTCCTCTAAAGGATCATAATCGAACTGGGCCCTTACAAATATCTGAAACAATGTTATTAGACAAAATTTTATTTAATAATAATCCTTCTTGTTTATTATTTAACGTTTATTAATCAAATCTATTACATTAATGAAAACTTTCCGTGAAATTTTGAAACGTTTGCTGAAAGTACAGATGTCATTTTTATATTTATATTACGATCATGCAATGTTTATTGTTCATGTCAAATGTGTGCACATTTATCTCTGATTATTTCATATTAGGTAAGTTTGATGAAAATTTTGGAATGTTATCATTGCTGCATTTTCATTATCTTGGACCCCGCGACGAAATATGCTAATGAAGGAAAATAGTGTCGATCATGAGGGGCATGATTTCAAAAATCATGCCACTTTTATGACCGCGCCGAATTCTTTATCGCATTTTCCACTTTGCTAGCGGCGGCAACGTTAAGAACTGATAACACCAGGACTCTCCATTTCCTCCTAGTTTCTTTATTTATTCTTGTAACATTGGTACCTACACGGAGCGAACAGGCACTGTGATAAATGAACCTGCTGGGAAACGTGGCGTCTGCATTATGCACCCAGATTTTCTCCACTTTTCTACGTCAATTTTCATCCCGTTTTCGAATTATTAATGCCCTTGTCGATTTCTAGCCTTTTTATCGTTAATTTGAGGACATGGGGTTTCTAGGCCAAAGACATCAAACGTACAACCGATTTATCGCTGGTCGCACTTTATATGTAACAAAACAACTGCAAAAAGGCCAACTTAAATATTTGACTAAAACATTTGAAAATAGCAAAACATCGAAAGTACTTGGCAATTGTTTTGTGTAACTTTAACTTTGTTTTAATCGCCGCAGTTGTTTGTCCTTTGTAGTTACCAATAGTGGGAAATATTCAATCTACGTACGAATTAGTGCTAGGATTCATGCATATAAGTTCAGGACTTGCAAATAATAAAGAAGTAAGTCGATAAGTTGTGTTACAGGTCCGGACCGATAAAATTAAAACCAGGATACATTTTTACGAAACATTTACTATTTAGTTGATTGTTTGTGGGAATGTTTTACAGGATGTACGTATCCTTTTAAAATTGCAGAATAGTAGACTTTTATTGTTGTAAGTAGCCGGAAAAGAACGAAAGAAAATGTTAGTGACGCGAAACGTTTTGTAACAAAATGATACACTTCGAGGTACGTTTTAGAGAAGTTTTTATTGCAAAAGTACTAAAACGGTTGTAATACCAACAATAAAAACGTAAAGCGAGCAGCGGTAAAGATGTAAAAAACAAAAGATTGTATTAAAACAAAAAACGAATACGAAACTGTTCCCGTGCTAATTATTACGTCCACCATTAATTGTTCTTGTTCAGTACAACTTACTTCATAATTACTGTATCTATTTGTACATACGTATGTAGACACTTCTAAATTTCTAAGCTACCCCTAATTGCTCACTTAAAATCTAAAAACTAATCAACTACATGGCAAAAAAGTAATGAAAAAAAAAACAAAAAGCACATCGCATCAACCAGATAATAGTGTACTTACTAGTACCGGTAGTGGTTTAATCCGGAACATCTGCTCAAACGAGAAAAAGACAAAAAATGTAGTCATCAGTTTTACAGAACAAACAAAAAATGGTTTTGATAATGCATTGAAAACAATGGTTTTGTAATAAGTATGCGTAGGTACGTATTACATGATATTGGAAAGCTTTATCTGGAATGATGTGATGTGCAATTGGAACTAAAAATATAAAAAACGAAATTAAATGCAAACTCAAGTCGAAAAAAATCACCCTGATAGTTACACTAAAACTACATTATAAATATTATTGAAATCTGAAAACTTTTTCAAATTTTCTTAATTGTAGGGTGTAAGTTTATCCTTTAATTATAAACTTGTTTCGTAAAAATTAAGATTCATCTAGCAGAAGTAAAACAAAACACTGTACCTACCTTACTAGATGCACAAAACAATTGGATAAGGAAACAATTGTCGTATATGAAAAATTTTGTCAGTACAGTGTTTTGTTTTGTTTCAACTGTCGAATAATTAGTCATTTTTTTGCGAAAATAATGTTTCTATTTATTGTTTATTAGATTTTATATGGTGCAAATTGGATTAAATTGAGATTAATTTTAAAGACTGTGTCCACGTTTTTAAATTGAAATGTCATCAAGCGCTGTCAGTACTTAGTAGGCACCTTTATTAAAACAATAACAGCGACAGCCACTTATGAACTACTTCTAAATTGAATTTCAAGTTTTCTCTGTTCATTTCCGCACAAAATTAATTTTCACGTCTGGCACTGTTTTCACAACAAAAATTTTGCAATTCAAATGAGTTTTAGACTCGTACCCTGTCACCCTCTCGATGTTCTGTTATATTTTGTCACTTTATGCATCATAATGATTTTCGCCGGTCATTATTATGTGTTACAGCAAAACAAAGACCACATGTAAATTCAAATATAAACAAAAATTAGTGTTGGTTCGTTTGTTTTATCTGTTGTGTGAAGCGACCAATCGGATCCGATAACGACAACAGTTGAAAAAAAGAAAAAAAGAAGTAGAACAAATTGTTAATAAGTAGGTCAGTCGGATAAAATAATTCCGTGTGTCAGATGCAGATTTTATGCTCAGCCTCTAACTAAATTTCGTTCAGTTCTGATACCTACGTATTAAAATGCAACCAAGTAGAAATGGCCAAAGTGGATTGGATAAGTGAAAACCCGGATTATGGACGCTGTGTTTGTCAGATTTTCCGTTTCCAAATAGAAATGTTCGGGGAAGTGAGAACGAGAATGTGGATAGTTTCTTGGAAATACCTTCTATGTGTATTTTGATATCTTTGCAGAAAACGAACATTTCATTTGTTTGCCGAATCATTCAACTGTTTCCCTCTGTCAGTACGATAAACAAATGAAAGTAAACGATTTAAATATTTTATTATGCATCAAAAACAGTTTATCGATTCACCTGAACGGTATAGGTACATATATAATGCAGTTGAATTCGTTATAAATTAAATGGAAAAATGATTAGGTTTGCTGAATAAAAATTGCAGAGCGGCTTTTCCGACGTAAACTGGATTATTTTTTATTAGATTTAGAGACATTGCGAGATATGTGCAACGCTGTCGTATAAATCGGTTCTTAAATAGTAAAAGCAGGAACTTGTTTATAACTCTGCAGTGGAATAAGAAAAACAGAGTTTTCAGACACATTTCTGACCCAGTTTTGTTCGCGAAATGCGGCCAGCGAAATGAACGGCTTATTCCATCAACAAAACAGATTTTGAAAGTTAAATGGACCAAAAGGACGCATGCCTTTAGTTCCAGTAAAGGGATAATAACTGCTTGGTTTCGTTGCATAACCAAAATTTTTAACAAACTACTTACAACTATTCCACCGGAGCAGAACACAGTGGTAGTTTGTCAGATGCCCGCAAAAAAAAAACAATAGAAAACATTAGAACAACTGCAGAACTTTCGACAATATACGATCGAATCGAAACAACAATTTTTCAAGTTTTCATTTGTTATTATGTAAACAAACAAAAACAGTAGCATTTCACTTGTTCTTGCCATTTTGTTAATAGCTCGTATTCCATAGGTAATAATAAAAAAAAGGAAAAACAAATAATAAAATTATAAACAATTGCCTTTGTATTCACTAACACTAAAAAGCTAATAAGCATTCGTGCATTTGATATGAAGTTTTGAATAATTTTATGAGTAGACTTACCTCGCAGGGTGGTGGAGCACTTCTATATGATGGAACTATTTTGAAAGTAACGGAACCCCGTGCTTCTCTCTGAAAAAAATTGAAAAATTCATATTCTTATTGATACATATTATATTAATATTCTTTTAATTTCATTGATACTGATGATTAAACCAGTCGAAGAACATTAAATTATGGTTCCATTAATCTTATTAACGATTTAACATACGCCAGTTAAATGGCTTAGTGTTTTTTCCTGTCAGAAGGGCGTGTAAAACACAAAGGGACTGTCAAGCAAGTGGTTACAAATTGTTCCAGATCTCATCTTGTTCTCAGACACATTTGTTCCCAATCGAGAAAATGAACTTATCGATTATCAATTAGATTCGAAATAACCGAGTTCTAGGGTTAGGTAATTAAAAATAAAGGCAAAATAAATTACTATTTTGGACGATAAATTAATAAAGCTTTATTGAATACATAGAATCAAATATTTTGAAGCAAGACTGACTATCAATAAGAGAATTTGTCGATAGTAACTTGTTTCATCTGTAGAAGGACGATAAATAATCGACAACAAAAGCTGTTGATGGCATTTTGTTACATTTGTTCTGGAAAATTGACAATCGGTAACAAAATCAGTCGATGGTATTTTGTTCTGTTTGTTCTCAAAATAAACTATCGATTTTAACTTTTTTAAATTTTATTGATGGTTAATTTTCTAGTTATACCTAATAAAAAAAATGTAGATAGATATTTCCTAATGGGTAGATTTCGAATTGTGTTATTACTGGTATTATATATAATAGCATTTATGGACCACTCAATATGGGAATTATTGCACCAAATTTATTACGTACGAATTGTTCCAATTTGGAACAGTAGGTACATTCTTGAAATTCTCTCCAGGAATGTTCTGCCACTGTTTAGTATATCGATTTGCTCGTTCGGACGCGGATTAGCAGCGGTTTTGTTTCAATTAAGATCGGCCATTTAGGCACATTGATTAAAATCCGATCGTACACAGGAAACAGAAATAGGATCAGAGAAAAACGACAACACTAGAAACAAGGTTATAAATACAATTCTGATAGTGTCTTAGATTAGGATATTTGTAGATAATTTTTTAGAAATATTTCCCATTTTCGCAGTTTGGGATGGGGAGGGTGGGGAAATAGAGGAAGGCTACGATGAAAATTCGTACCACAATTATGAAAAAATTGAAATCAGTTTGATTTCGTTATATCTAACAAATAAATAAATAACTAATTTAACAAGCATACAGAAAAGGAGAGAGATAAATCTACAAATGGTTTATTCAAGTGGATGCTTCGGTAATTCGAGAACAATATCAATTACTAACCAATTAAAAGTTCTCGATGGTTCAAATGAAATAATGAAACAAATGAAACCACTAATTACCGTGTTGAACACGCAATTGATGATCAAAGCGTGCGCCGTATTGAAAGAAAACAATTGAAAACGGAAAACAAAAGATAGACAAGGAGTATGTAGTATCATCTTACTTACCAGTATTTTCTGGAGCGTGCCAACGGACTGATTCTGAACGGGAATCCCATTGATTTCCCTTATTTCATCCCCGACATGGAGAGTCGCCTGTCTATGAATCATCCCGCCGTGCATTATCCTAGCCACGATACACTTGCCGTCGTCGTTCATTTTTAGTGTAATTCCCTGAAAAATAATTGAAAACGTCAAGCCGATATTACCTAGCCACCTCCGCAAAAATAACCGAACTTAATAGGTAACATTAATCAAGACAAACCACCACGTCATAATAAAATTCCTCTCATACTACACGGAAAATGTTGTTATGTACTTTACAAAGGTCTATCTTCATCAAAGAGCCCGTGCTTCTACAGTAATTAAAAATGTATCTCATCAAAGAACTCGACCACTAGAACACAACATTTTCAGACTAAAACCTTCACACAGATTATTACAGCCACTTAAGCACATCCGTATCATTTTTGATTCGATTTGATTTTTTTTTTCAACATCATTACCGCGAAATAACCAGACATTCATGCAGACGGTAAAACCTTTGAAAAAAAAAAAATGGTTAAAATTACAAAGTCATTAAGGTTTAGCTGAATTTAACGAACCTAAATTGGCGCGTGCTTACGGTGAATTTTTAGCTGTCTAATTAGATGACGTTGCCCGGCAAATTTCGCTTTACGTTATTAAATTTATTAATCTAATTAATGTTACAACCGGAACAGCTGTCTCAATCCATAAAATTGAAAATAAACACAGAATATTGTAAATTTACACATAAGGACCTAATACCTGCCTACACGAAAATGTTATTGGACAAACGTTTTTATAATTTAAAAAAAAAATGGATTTCAGATTTTACTTGCAGTAAGATCATTAAAAATCACATAAAACTAATTTTTTCTATCCCTCGGGAACAATACTTGTTTTCTGGATAAATGTTACCTTATGTTCTTTCGTGTACCCCTGACAATATGTGTACAAAATTTTAAGATAATCGGTTAACTAGTTAAGGTGTAATAAGGTAACAAACAAACAAATAAAATTGTTTGGATTACAATTAATAATAATATCCACGTTATTATCGTATGCGGGAACGTAGAATTAATTCCACGATCAGCCCACTGGCTTAGCTATTAAATTTACCCATTTAATAAAGTTTCCCGTTTGAAATATTTTCCGAGAACATTCACACGTGTGCTTATCTACCTTCAACGTCACACAACGTTTCTAGAAACTTTGCCTGACATTCCAATTGTAATATTAATAACTGCCGTAGGTACCAACGTGTGTGTACATGTAGGTACATTTCCATCATGAAATTCAACGGGGAATTTTCGCCAAATTTTGACATCCCCTTGTTGAAATGCAAATAGCAATACAGTATTGATTATCGTTAACTAATAACGTAATTCGTGCAGCGTGTTCGCCAGCAATCATGCATTTCGATAGATATTCGGTCCGTGTCGGTCGCATCTGTCATCTTCGAAAGTGCATCATGACCTACTGGTCACCCCGAAAGCTTGCCCGAAAGCTTACCCGAGGCCCGGTGCCAAATTACGTTTAGGTATATGAATGATCATCATCGCGAGTCATTTATTAAAGCGTTACGCCATATTAAAGCCAGCAGTAACCCTCATGGGTCATTTCTGGGATGTATGTTACACTCCTAAAATTACAGGCAAATTTAATTTTCGTTATTGTCAAAGTTTACAACGTGGCTCGGAAGTAAGACGGTGTTCTTTTGTCAATTTATGGGCTCGTGCAAGGTCACAACGTACAGATCGAGCAATAGTCTTAGTGAACTCTTGAAAAGTCCCACAGGAATTGAAGAAGACGTTACTAAACTTGTGAACAAGTTAGATACACGTGTGTATGCAGAATAAGTATCCTTAGTATTCCCAACTGAAGAAGAGCCAAACATAGAGCCAGAAACTCTTGTTAAGTAGACAAGTGAACATCGAAAATTTAAAATGGAATAAAAGTAGATAGAAGAAAAATAAAAAAGTTACCGTTCCTTATACCTTAACTCTTAAAACTTCCTTTACGTTCAATAAGATAATTCAAATCGGGTTGATCTTAATGGATCTTTACTTTTACGAATTATTTCAATTGTTTTTATCACACTGGCGAATGTTTTAAGTTCTTGTCTGTCTACACCAGCGTCAACCCCAGTGTGACACTTCTTTTGTTAATTATAGCACTTATAAGAACAGTTTTATACTTGTCTTTGAAGATAAGTGTCCCATTATGTATCTGTAGTGCAAAGTTCAGTAGCGAGTGCTAGATACAAACGATCGATGATGCTAGTTACATGTCCTTTGGGAATGTGTGTGTCTGTGGGTAAAAATGCCCTGCTAACCGATGTGGTAATGCCGAGTTTAAAAGTCGGGATAATACCTATAATAGATGAGGCGCTGAAGTGGAATCGAAATATCTCAACCATGCTCCAAGCTCGCTTCAGTTCATGTGACAAGTCGATAAATCTCTTCTGCACCAACAGTTCAAGGAATTTGTTACGAATTGTACTACAGTTGGCATCTCTTTCTGTTACACATCAGTTGATGTAATGTCATTCCTTTTTCTTTATTTGTGTCCGCTGCAATTCCTACCTGACATCTCTTTTCTATGCTTCAGTATTCCCATAGTTTTGCAGCTTTCAAAATCACCCAACTGACGTAACAGAACTTATTCTAACATTGACAGGAGTATTTTAAAGCACAAGGTCGTATCCCATGAGATTCTTCACTACCTATAGTAAGTGGACCTGTGCGCGTACAACTTACTATACTTTCACTGACTCACTGTTATTCCCTGACGTAACAGAATCTATCGATGGCATTTTGTTTGTTGTTAAAACTGACATTCTATCAATAACAAATTCTGTTGATAGTATTTTGTTCCATTGTTGTAAAAAGTTGACTATCACGAATAACAGATTCCGCAGATGGCATTTTGTTTAACGCCTTGAAAAATTGTGTAAAGGACGATAAAATGTATTGGATATTGCGTTAAAATTGAAAAATTTCATTTCAGGCTTCCTTGTGAAGTATTTTGTAGTTTACTGTTCTTCAGAAAGACGACTTAGAAATCCTTTTAGAGAATTTATGGATTCTTTTAGGATCATAACGTAGATCCATACATCGTACAGGTTCCCTAATCCAATTGACGTAAATAACTGGTCTTGTTCTGGGATGTGTGTATTAACAAAGCTAGGTAGTAGAAGTAGGTAGTAAATTAGCCGTCGATAACATAAAACGAAAACCGCTGATTAGTAAATGAACTTAAATGTAAGTTTATGGTTTTTCGGTGTAATTTCTGTTTATTCGGTGTATTGCTGGAATAACGGTGAGCTAGCCGATTCGTAGGTGTATATATATATATATAGGACAGGAAGAAGGCACTCGTCCTGATAGGATTACTGCACGTTCCACTTAAGGAGGACAGACGTGTTTGGAAAGGCGTAAATTTAACAGTTAATCCTGCTTGCTGTAAAATCCTCTCGACCAATTCGCTTTTACTTCAATTTAATGTTTGAAAAAAATGCACCATTAGAATCTGATACTTACGAAAAAAATCCTGATGCTTAATTAACCTATCAGAAAAATGGATGACATTTTTAGATCAATACTATAACAGAGATAGACATAGAACAAAGTTTCTGAGAGAGGAAATATATCGTAAATATCATTTAGGTTTTTATAGATATGTACCTGCAGAGTCTGTATCTACTTTTTAATTAGATTGGTAACTAAGAGCAACTTTTTATTACTCAAGTCCTCTTCAAACTTTACAGCACTAAAACCGACTTTGTATATATGCATGTATATGTGGTGGTTTTAATTAAATTTGAAAATACACGTCGATGGTGTATATTCTTACCATTGGTTCGTCTGTGTTTTTCTGGAACTGAACGAGACGCACTCTGGTGACATTTTCCAATTCGAGGTCGCCGTTTGGAGCGTCTAAATCCTCACCTCCGTTGAGGTATGGAAGGGTTGGAGGTGGCGTGACTCGCATCGCATCTTCGCTATAAATTTCGTGAGCAACCACGTCGTGAGCTTGGAGAAGTGCCTGAAACAAAATTCATACGTAATTCTTTTGTTACATTCATATACTGCATAATAACAGAATCTATCGATGGTATTTTGTTTGTTGTTAAAACTGGCGTTGTAGCTGTAACAAATTCTGTTGATAGTATTTTGTTTTATTGTTGTAAAAAGTTGACTATCGCAAATAACGGATTCCGTAGATGGCATGTTGTTTAACGCCTTGCGAAAAATTGTGTAAAAGGCGATAAAATGTATTGGATATTGCGTTAAAATTGAAAAATTTTATTTCAGGGTTGCTTGTGAAGTATTTTGTAGTTTACTGTTCTTGAGAAGGACGACTTAGAAATCGTGTTAGAGAATTTATGGATTCTTTTAGGATCATAACGTAGATACATACATCGTACAGGTTGGCACAGGTTTGCGTTGCGACTTTGTAAAATGGCTTTGTAAAAATTGCTCGGTTCCAACAATGAGGGCAAGTAATATGTACGAATTAGGGAGCAATTTCATCGTCCCATTATTTCGACCACTAACGCCCCTGATAACTGAAATTTCTTTCCGGTACGTATTTCAAATTACGTCCTCTCTGTTTTGACACAAGATAACATGCCATAAAAATGGCACACAGGGAACAACGGGAACGTGGTAGTAGCAATTTACGCTGCCAGCAACAACAACAACTACAACTGCTCCAACGACGACGACATGAAGGGTTGCGGGTGGATATTAAAATCAGCTGAAGGGGAAAAACGCCTGTGTAGATATTTTTAATTAAACCAAACGACGAGAACATTGTTGTACATGCATACACATATTTCTATGTATAGTATGTTTTCTACACGAAATGCTAACTATTATCCGAGAAGTTATCATCAAGTCAGATATTCTACCCAAAGTAACACAGATTTCAAAATCTACCAGAAAAATAAGCAGTTGAAACAAAAGCCAACAAGTTTCATTTGTTTAAAATAAATGCAAGATCCGTACCGTGTTTCTTTTTTTCTCTAAACAACATTTTATGTTGTACCTAATTGTTGTTGAAAAGCTGCGATCTGCTGAAGAAGATTTCAGAAAAGAAAATTGGGAGAAGGTCTCGAAGTTAAAATTTCGCTTTATAAATACGGGGCACGCGGCCCGAGTTAAATGAACTAAACAAGTTTACTAATGAAGTCTCACCGCCTTCTGCGACCCTTTAATCAACTTGTGTTGAGTTTTCTACCCCCGGTGCAATTTAAACGAAAAAATGGCTCGCACAGCGAAAGATAAGTAAGAAAAATTCGGGAAGCGAATCGTCCCATTTTTCATTCTGTGCGCTCTTCATGCCGAAGGTCACAACAAAAGGCCGAATTATCTGATAGAATGAATCACGAGACTCCATTTTCCGATCGGATACGAAAATCACACACCTACCATCTGATTTCGAAACCAGTCGTTAATGGAAAATTCGAGAACGGCTCTGTCAGTTTTTCGGTAGATGATGTTGAAAAATGATTACAGAATCTAATTTCTTTTCCTATTTTCAATGGTCGTACTTTTTGGGCAATCAATAATAATAATAATATTTCAAGATTCTTATAGATATTACATCTACTGTTTTAGAAAGGCGCTGATTTCATTTGTTTGTTTGTTTGTTTGTTGATATTCTTTTGTTGTACGAGTAGGTGACACACAGCGAAATGTTTGCCTACTCGTCACGGTGTAAGAGTCTCCTCGCTTATTTTATAACGCCATTGGAGCTTTTAAAGAGCTTAATGTTTCAATTATGATTAGCTGTAGGAGAGGGCGCGCCGTATTCGTCCTTGGCAAAAGAATCGAGTCAGAGCGCAACGTCTTGAAGAGGATCAAACAAAAGAAAATACAAAAAGGGACGTGACTCTAAGCGAAACAGTAGCTATTAGGAAACATTTGAATTTCAAAACGTACAGTTTCTACCAAAACGTATAATACCTTTAACCGCGCAGATTTTTACCTTTACATTTTGTTTGCCGGAAATGGTTAAATATCCCAGAATTATTTAGACAGTTGGTATTAGAGAAATTTCTAACTTCGTCCTAATAAGTACCTACTGAAAGCTAAAAACGTTGTTCACCTGTTCGTGGGGCGAGTAGAAGTCCAAAGCGTCGGAGCTTTGATGGTGGTACCTAAAGGGACTGTGTACTGGGCAACTAGCGCGGAAAGGGCTGTCGATACGATGGTAAATTCCAGCAGCGGGGGTAGCAGGGGTCGACCTTCCTCCCCCAATGACCCTGTCGCACCAGTGTTGCGACCCCCCGAAGCCTCCATGGTGACCATGGGGCAAGGAAGACCAACTGCTTGGCCCGTAGGGATCCAGCTCCGTGTTTGTGTTGTTTATTGTTTAAAACAATAACCACAAGTACTTACTCACTCAATTGTTTCGTAACTGATTTTATCGAAAAACAAAAGCTTGTTTTGTCGTAAGAATTTTCGTTTGTTATCTACTTGTTTATAGATATTATTAAAATAAAATTTATTAAAAGGTTTATCTATATCTGTGGGTAGGCATAAGGAGGTAAATGGTTTTTATGAGGTTGGAAAAGTACGCCAGATTTCGTTCTCTCAAAACTTTTCCGAGGGTCCTGGCCATTTTGGGCAAGGGTGGGATAATGATTAACACCAATTGCGGCGCTTATCGGGGCGATCCAAGAGGGTAATAACGTCAGACGCCGATGTTTTTAATTGGGGTAGTTTTTCCAATTAATTCGATCGTTAACGTCTCGCCGCCGCAAAAAATATAAATTGTTGCTAATAAAATTAATACCTATAGTGCTGTGTACGAAAAGTAATTAAATGCAACCCGAAAACCCGTTAAAAAGGAAACTTTTCCCCGAAACTATCTTCCATTTATTGTCTTTCGCATTCCAAAATTTAATGAAATTTCTCCGAAAGATTCAACTCTGCCGCCATTGTTATCATGCTCGGCGGGCGCATAATATGATTCATTGCAACGATCAGCCGGAAGTTGAATTATAACCTTTTTCATTAGCCACCGGAAACGGTATATGTATATCCAACATTAATTGGAATCAAGATGCCCGCGATAACCTACGGGATCGATGACGGAACTAATGGTCCCGGAAAATGGATGATTAAATCTACTAATTAAAAGATTGAATTGCTATTTTCTTCGTGAGCAGGGTGCAAAAGTGGCCACAAGTTAAAATTTTTATCCCTAGAAACTCGCCCCAATCGGCGACCGCCGAGACCAGAAACACCAGATATTATTCCACTCATCTGAAACTCTGCTAACTTCACACCCTTCAAAATTACATGGTTATTATTATTGCTTGTGAAATATTAAGGGCACCTATGTGGTAAATACCCATTTATTCCTTTTACATAAACATTGACTTGGAAGAATTGCAATGGTCCGAAACTAATGGTTGTACATACATTGCATTGAGTTCTACGGACTTATTTATGTTGCAATAGGTAGTTTTGAAGTTAATAATTGATGAGTACTTTACTGGACTCCGAACAGAACAAAGAAGGCAATAATTTCGTGTAAGAACAAACTAACGTGAGAGTTGTACTAGATGAAGCCCCGAAGCCCCATGTGGGGCAAAAACTTATCGTATCGTGTGGCAAACTAACTAAAACAAAAAAAGAATGAAACATACACACACACACACTGTAGAAAAGCAAAGTGAATGCTAATGTGAAACTGTAAACAAAAGCGTACTTAAAAACGTACACCGTCTACTGTTTCGCCGTTTTTTTTTTTTTATTGTTTTGTTCAAATGGTTGGATCAGTTGAAATAAAGTGGACGTGAAACATGTAGAAACCAGCCAGCACAATTTTCTCTTAACATTAGCATTGTAGTCAAATATATTTCACCCCGTGGTAGTTATGTAGCCGAGGCACGGCGATATTAGGGAATATTGATTGTAGCCGGGGGCAATAATAAGTCCCCAATTAAATTGTAAACACAAGTTCCAACAAAATATTATATTCAGATATCTGGATCAAATTGAATTAGGGCCTTCTCTCCAAGTTCACCTTAATACTGCGGTTAATAAATTTTCACAATGGGTTATAACCGTAATAAATGTGCAAAATTTAATAACCTGCTGTTTATATGGTAGCCACTTGAAATTTAAAGTCATTACTATCTGTCTCATCTTGAACTCACTTTAATAGATGGAAATGTTTTACGACTATAATTATAGTACCTAGGAAATGAATCGGCGGATTTTCTCTACTAAATTTTTCGGTGAATATTCATCAATCTTCACAGCTGTAACAACAGGACTGCAAATTAGTGAAAATTAACTGAACTAATAAGTGAACTGAAAATACTAATTGAATTAGTGAAATCACTTAAAATAAATGAGCATAAATTTAATAGAAAAAATATGGGCCAACCAATGGCTTTGAAAACAATTGACTATTTACTTACTTTACTGGAAACAGAAGTCGATTTTCCACTGTTTTAATGTCATATACATAATAGAAAGTATTAAATACAATGTAAAAAAATATTATTAGATGGGTACTAAACCTATTTATTCGACTATTATCTATATAATAGTGAGTAGGCATTTTTTAAAAAACTTCTTTTTACTATAAAAGTGAAAAAAAAATTGAGAAAGTTAAAATGTAGGTATGAAGGTAGGTTTGACGAAAAAAATTGACAAAGACGCTTTTGTTGTATAGAAATCTTGTTATAAGTTAAATGGGGCTTACGAACGTGGAAGAAAGTGAAATTTAATTTCCTGGATGTTCCAGCCTTTCTTCCAGAGTCTATACAAGGACGCACAACAATATATGACACACAGAAATGCCGCACATACGCTCCTGTGCATTTTGTATTGATAAATCTGTTCCAATGGAATTGTATACCAAACACGTGTTCACATTGACAAATGTTCCATACGCGACGTGAATTTTTATTTTTATTAAAATAAGAGAAGACATGACAACACACAGCATTGCTCGAATATTATTAAAAAAAAATTTTTTGAAATCGATAAGGCAACTGACATTAAAATCTAGACTTATTT